ATTATGCGGAGCGCTGTGATAAAGTCCTTTAGAAAGCAGTCTCCTTTCCATCTCTGATTTGGTAGAAACGTTATTGCAAATCTCTTATTTGAACCTAATGTGCTTTTCTCAGCTTCTCAAAACACCACATAGAGAGCGCTTTCGTGTTGTTTGCCCTGGAGATATACATTGGGAACAAAAACCTTAAGTCAAGTTTCTTCACTTTGTACTGATTTGGCTCTTAGTAATTATCCCTTCTTCTATTAAACAAGAGAAGACAGATTAAGTTTCTAACAGTAAAGCACAAAACCAATCCATTTACAGAATTAGTCTTACATTAGCACATAGGAGTACAAATCAGCCTCCCTGGGGATGGATCTATTTGCAATTTCTCTCAGCATTTTTGGAGTAAGTCCAGTAGACTTTGGGAAAATCTAGTATTCACTGACTCTAGATTAACAAAAGTAATGTGACCCTTTTGTGTATTTTTTTCCCCTTGATTGGGAAACAAGGGGTGGGGTTCCCTTTTTTATTAACCCCTGTGACTTAGGGTTGTGGTTCTTAACTTTTAGTGTACACAAGGAACCTTTGAGAAAATGATGCTTGAGTCCCACCAGTGGAATTTTGGAGCATGGGTCTGAGTATTGCTCAGGACATAAAAGCAAACCAAACCAAACAAAACACTCCCTGGGTGATTTTTGATGTGTAATACAGGATGAATCAGTAAAAATGATAGAGAATGTTTGTGCTGCTGTACAAGTATTAAAAATCAAGTTGTGTGCTATCAGAAAGATGCTTTTCTTTAACTTTGAAGGAACATTAATTCTTTGAATTTACTAGTTTTCTAAAGCATACATTTGGCAAGACTCATATTTTTAAACAGTATAGTCATGTTGATTTTTAAAAACAGTGACTGAATTTTCTTGTATTAACAATGTCTTTAAATTCTTCCTTCTTAGAGTATGTTTCTGAAGTGGCAAGTTACCCAGCTTCATGTTTTTAAGTCAGTGTCAATGTAGAGTGGGATTATTGTGGCTCACAAGTTTTTGGGTGACTGTTTGTTTCGCTGTGGTCTATGCAGATAGCTGAGAGTATCTGTTAGTAACAAGGAATTTCTCGGCACTCTGGCTGCAAGTGAAATTTTGACTTGGGAAACACTGAATCTGTGTGCTTAAAGTACTCTGCTGCAGCCATTAGGCTTTATGTGGTTACTGGGCTGCAGCTTTTGTCCAGGATGTGGCTTGAAATCTTTGTCACGTTATGTGTACCTTTAAAAGAGTTGTATTTTCAACCACAGGGTCACACATGCTGTTAAGCTTCGTATGGTGTTTTCCAAATGATATGTTGCTAGTAGTAAGAAACTGAAGTTTATAAATCATTTATGTCACCTTTAATTTACCCTACTTGTTTGGTTGGTATAATGACATTACTCTCAAGTACATGCATTTCAGTATTACTGAAGTAGAGGAGGAGAGAAAAATAGGCTACATAAACTAAAGTCTTTGGACCTGTGTGTGAAAACCTTTGGAAATGTACTGAATACAAGCCCACTGTGGGTCATGTCTGTTGCTTTGGAAAAAAAGGTTGGCCTTTCCACAAAATAGACTCCAAGACGGAGATTTGAGTGTAGGTGTTTTAGTGGGCTGGCCTTGCAGAAAGGTCCAGATTGAGGCAGGCATTGACTAGTTACTGGATAGACTGCCCTCTGGGACAGGATGCGGCTTTGGTGAAGCCATTTGTTTGGCCAAGGTGAGTGTCTGTGAGGGGACTCAGCCATGAGCAGGCAGCATTTTCATCTGAGAATGAGAGTCTCAGACCCAAAGGGCAAGGGTGAGCCTCCATTTCAAGAGCCATTGGATGGATGTCTTAGCACAGTTATTCTGAACATAAACAGCATGAAACTTTGCAGTTTGGTGCCCTGACCTTGTCTGCATATTTCTTAAGATACTTGGTATTTTGGTTTGCTATCCATGAGGGATATATTGGTTTCTTTTTGCTGCCTCTTATTCCCCAATTGGTAACAACAAGAAAAATCATCAGTATGAAAACCTGGGGCTTGAACTGTTTTGGGTTGAAGATCAATCATTTTAGAGTTTAGTTATAATTCTAAGAGCATAGTGATTTAAAAAATTTGACTCTGGAATGTTGGTTTTACATATGTAGAGTTTGGTACTTTCACAGTGGGCACCCTACAGAGCAATGAGACCACAGTGAGACCAATGTGGTATCTCAGACTGTCAGGGTGCTGGTTATAACACCATCATCTGATCTTTTGTAGCCTGGTGGGCTGTGTCATTTTCATCCACCATGGACCAGAGCAAAGCCTTCTTGAGTGATTATAGAGGAATATGCTTTTAAAGTTGTTGATTATTTTTAAGTCCTCTTGGAAAAGCTCCTTTGTGTATATACTTCCCGGGTTTAGGCTCTGGAGTGACTTATCCCCTTGCTACCCCTAATACTGACTGTCATCTGTTTATAGTATGATGACAAGTATACTGTATAAACAGTATGTGTAAACAATAAACTGACTTAGGAGTACCACAGGACGTGAGCCAGATTAACAAATATTTGCAGAAATAAGAGAGAACTGGAGAGACTTTTGAAAGAAAATTGCCATATTCATGAACCTCTATTGCATACTCAGTACTGGTACTTCTGCTGAGCCTTTTCTATGTGATATCTCATTGTATTCTTCATATCATACCCATTGTATAGTGTAATTGTGGTGTATCTTTTTAACAGATGAAGAAGCTCAGATGCATTTGGCGTGGAGGCATGCCTAGTGAGGACCAGAACTAGTCTTATCATTTGGAGTCTTTTCTCGGACTTTCCAGGCAGTATATTTCCAGAGAAGATGGTGGCTGAGAACAAGGACAGTGGCAAGATTAGGATTATATAAAGATAGAGGTGCTGCATTCTAGAGTGAGAATGGAGACTAGAGAATAGGCTAGTTGAATGCCATAAGGTAGAAAGCTCCTGGCAACAGAGGGGTGACTTTTCTGCATCACACACAAAAATAACAGTGTCTCCTGCCTCATGAGGGTCACACCAAGTCCAGAAACTAGTTCATGGTGCGTCCTGAATGGGACCTATTAAAGAAGGAAAGACCTGACAAGTTGCTAAAGGAGGTGTCTGTTTAAATGACTGCATGCTTTTTTTCTGCCTTTGTTCCGACTATATGAGGGTAAGAAACATTTTTCTGTTGTTTATTTACAATTGAGTGAAGCAGGCCTTTCCATTTCACTATAGTCAGAATAATCCAAAAGAATAAACAAGAGAAGTCCAGGGCTAGCAGTGGTGGTATGTCTTGTGTGACTACCTAACCAGCGGTGACCCCCTCCAGTGTGGTGTTGAGGAGTCTCCAGCTGTCTCTGGCTGAGAATAATCCCCTCCAATTTTGAGTCTCACCATGTAGTCCAGGCTGGCTTTGAACTCACTGTGTAGCCTGCACTGGCCTGGAACCCATGATCCTCCTGCCTCAATCTCCCATGTGCTGGGATTAAAATGGACTTCTTTTGCTGATGGTTGAAGCCACTCGTGTGTGTGTGTGTGTGTGTGTGTGTGTGTGTGTGTGTGTCTCTGTGTGTGTGTGTGTGTGTGTGTGTGTGTGTGTGTGTGACCTCACCCAACGTTAGCCCAATAACTTCCTATTGTTTTTTTAGGCAGGGACCCTGTGTCTTCCAGTTACTATTGCAGACTGTTTTCCTTTTCCCCCTGTATGGCCAGTATTTCTGACCTGGTTTAGCATTCAGTTCTTTCTTTTCCTACAGAGAACTGTCAAGTCTTACTTTTTCCCCCTCTAGAGATCCTTTTTGGCCTTCATACTTCTGCTTGTATTGTTTTCATAGTTAAGCACTACATTTCTTTCTTGTGTTCTAAGTTCTCCTGTAGCCTCGAGGCTCCTAGGTGAACAGAAATATGATTCCAGGACAGTTTTTGTCCTGAATCTTGGTGGGATCCAAATCAGTGCTCCAAATCAGAGTCTAAATCCCTTAGCAATCCTAAAACTATTTTCTGAGACCACAACCTTGAATACACAAAATGGTTGTGTTTGAGTGGTGAATTAACAGTTTGCTTGCAACCAATAAGTCATTGATGTCAGCCAAAGCTTATTAAAAATGGATTTCATTAAGCAAGTTCTGTTGGGACAAAGAGCACAGCTTTCCCTGGCTTTGCAGAAGCCATGACATAGCAAGCGTTGGCAGGTGGATTTGCAAGCAGACAGAGTGGTACACATGCACAGTTGGCTTTTCTCTGTTTCCTGCTCATATTCCTTTGTGTTACTAGGATCATGACAGCCTTATCTCTCAGTTGAAGCCTGTTACCTCATCTCTAATTGCTTACCCAAAGGCAGGCAAACTCTCATTTCTCCACATTAATAAATGACACCGAAGAAGAACTGCTTTGTTTGCACTGGCTCACTCAGGTTAACCAGTGTAAGCCCCTGAGAGCATCAGGAAACCTCAAGGAAAAATGGTGTTCACCTTAATCCAGAGCTGCCTTCCAGTTCTTTACTTTTTGCTCATGTTCTCTATCCTAGTCTTTCTCTAATGATGAAAACACTTCAGTCACCCAGGTCCGCATTTCCACAGCTGGGTCCTTACTCCGCTCGTACTTGGTGGGAAGTAGCCGTTGTCCTGGGAGGAGGGGTGACCTTGCTGATTTCCAGGCTCACTCTTTTGGCCAATTTGCTGCTCCTTTGTCCTGAAAATTAGGAAACTGTGCCCAAACCTTTCCACCAATTCCTGTGGTGTATCATGGGATATAAAATAGCACCCCTGCTTTTCCTTTTTGGAGCATCACAGGAAACTGTAATGTGGATTTCACAAGTGAATGTGAGTTTAGGTTTGTGGGAGTCAGAATTGAGACTGTCTGGTGACTTTTGAATTAGTTGTATGACTAATTCAAATGCTACTAATCATGGTAGCATTCTGTCCTGGGAAATACCTGTCACTTAAAGAGGCTGAAATATGAATTATTTTCATATCTCAAAATTGTATTTCTTTTTTTTCCCACCTCAG